AATTACTGCCGTTGGTGGCGTGCTTGAAGAATCCTGAAATGATTTATGGGTACACTCTTGTCAATTTTGAAAGAGCGGCCGATGTTATGGAAAGCCATGACTGCCTCAATATCATGTAGTACATTATGTGGACCACTTAAGGTAGAGATGCAGGTTCGTGGGCACTTGGGAGTGAATGTTTTTTTTTTTTTTTTGCTTTTTATTATCCAAACAGTCTTGGCTATAGACTGTTAAAATTTTGTAAAATTGTGAATAGTGGAACATACTCAAAAGACGATTTTAAAGTATAGATAACGGGTGCAAACATTCTCTCTGTTGAAGGCTTACAAGATTTAGCAAGGCTGTACATAGATAATAAAAAAGAAACATGGTGAAAAAAAGAAATGACGGGATCTCCATATTATGCACTATATTTAACTTTTAACAAAACAATAATACATTTAAATTTGGAACTGTTGCAGCCATTTTAATTATGAGCATTAGCAAACTTCTTACTGAGTGAATTGTTATGCAAATTAGCAATTATCTCGGCTTCTTTTTAGTGCACATCCCAGAACTTTAAAAAAATAGCTCCTAGACGCTTTGACCTTTTTGTTTTGAAATTTTCACAAATGATTGACAATGTGTTTATCTTCAAAACGCCGTCGTTTTTGGTTGAGCAGTGTTACATCAATCGTACAGACAACTATCCTGGGTGTTAATTTACGCATAAACTTGAAGTAGTGAACTTTGAGCAGCTGCCCTGCAAAATTGACAACTGGTAGACAGTTTTCAAGACTGTACCTTTCTTCATAGTAAACAGATGTACCCCATGAACCAATTTTGACAGTAAACAGAAGCATGGTTTAGAAGCTATTTTTTTAAAATCTCTTTTGACCAAAAAAGCACATTTTTGTGCATATTTCAAACTACAGTGTCCATATAATAAAATACTAACAACATTTTGAAATTCATACAATAAGCTTTCCGAAAATATATAGTTTTGTGGACAAGGGAGGTCATCTTGGTTTCCTAATTAACTAATTAAAATACCTGTCAGGTAAACTGCATCTCTACCTTAATTCTATATGCGATGTGTATATAATATTATGTTAAGTGTGTATATCTTTATACTATGTAAACATAGCTATATACAATGTATGTATGTCATTATACGATGTGAATATAGCTTTATACGACGTGAACATACCTTTATACGATGTTAACATACCTTTATACGATGTTAACATACCTTTATACGATGTGAACATACCTTTATACGATGTGAACATACCTTTATACGATGTGAACATACCTTTATACGATGTGAATATTTCATTATACGATGTGAACA